CCTGTCCTGATCGAGTCCTGATCCTGTCCTGATCCTGTCCTGATCGAGTCCTGATCCTGTCCTGATCCTGTCCTGATCGAGTCCTGATCCTGTCCTGATCAAGTCCTGATCGAGTCCTGATCCTGTCTGTCCCTCAGAAATTAATAAATCATTAAATTAATAAATAAAGTGGTAAAAGCTGCCTAACAGGGAGAAAGGTGGGTTTTAGTACGGAAACCTGTTGATGCCACAAAGTTTAAACCAGACGTCTGTATGTTGGGTTGAAATGTGTGAACTTTTCTGTAAAACTTAAATAAAATGATTGAAACTGATTTGATTCTTTGAGTTTTTATCTAAACTTTAAAGTGCCTGTGACATCATGTTTTTGTAATAAATGAATGTATTTTTGGAAAGATACCATCGATAACATATTGTAAAATATATTTCACGCTGCTGAGATGAACAATTGTTGAGATATTTGCATGTGAAGTAACAGGAAGTGATGTCACAGGAGAATGTCTAAATATAAACAGTGTTGCTAAAATGGCTGACAGAACAGATTGTAGAGAAGAATCTGTTTCTTTAGATTATTTTAATCACTATTATAGAGATGAGTCATAGTTCAAATAATGTTTAAATAAAAACCAGTTTTCTTTCTCAGAGTTCCCCTTTGATGTCACTTCCTGTTTCCATTTAGCTAAGCAACGTTCAAAGGAGAATATGGCAATTATGTGACATAATGGATAAAATCATGTGTATTATGCTAAGTTTCTTAAATATAAATATATCTTCTTTGACTTTCTGTATTTCATGGATATGCGTGTCACAGGCACTTTAAATGTTGATGTGAGGTTTGAAAACTTCCAGCGGTGAGGCAAGACCTGCAGTCTGGATCTGGTGGGTTCTGCTAAATGGAGTTAAATTGAGGTCATAAGTTTTGTTAAAAAATAATTTTGAAACTAAAATAATAATTTTAAATAAGTTGAAGCTGAAAAAAACAAAAACATATCTGGGAAAGTTTCAAACATTTTGTATTTTTAGTTTCAATTTTTTTTTCCAGTTTCAAATCTCCCTTTTTCAGTTTCATTTTTTTAAATCAGTGAACCAAATTTATGACCCCAGTTTAGCTCCATACTGCTGGACCCATCCCCCTCCATCCAGGATCCAGGTTGAAACACAGCAGCCATGTTCCCCTCAGCGGGGGGGGAGACAGGAAGTGACTGTTCAGCCTTTCAGAGTAAAACGCTTCTAATTGTTCATGTTCATATTTTATTTAACATAAATCATATTGCAGTCAAAGTCAACAGTTGGGGTTTCAATATACACAATAGAGTTGTAACATCTTAAGCCCCGCCCCTTTACGACACCACCCCTAATGAAAAATCAAATACTGCCCACCCCTGTAAGCCCACCACTCCACCCGAATTAGCCCCGCCCACTTCCAGCAGCAAACTCCAAACTGATTAACTGAGGCATGTCAAATTCAACTAAGCTCCTCCCACAGTGATTAAAGCCCACCCCCTAAACAAACTACAGCCACTGCAGAAACTTAAGGCATGTTTCCCCTTCTTTACGAACCACACCCACTTCACAAGCTCCTCCCACAAAATACAATTTCTGCAGCTCCTCCCACTAGAAATGCCCCCCCCCCCATTACTCTGAAGCTCCTCCCCCATCGGTTTAATCTTCAGCAAAACTACTTCATACCTAAAAACTAAAATAAAAACTTTAAGGCGCGTCAGCCATATTTGTGGTTGATAAGCTCCGCCCCTCTCTGCGACTTCCTGWGAGAAAAAAAGCAGGAAGTGTTTGGAGTTTGCTGCTGAAACTGATGCATACTGGTGGTGGG